AGTCACTTGCACAGGGCTGCCAAGCATGTAGCAGAGCTGGGACTGGGATCTCGGTGGTCTAGAGTTCCAGCCTATGGCATTGATTGTCACCTCCTCTGTTCTTCTACCAAGCCGGCGGGAGGGAAAGGCCACTGTCCTTGCCTGTACAGTTTTGTGCAGGAGATACACATCGTTTTTTTGTACATTTCACTTATTCGTTGTATGTGCAAGCATTCTGTGGTAAGTGTGTAGAGGTTGGAGGACAGTTTACGGGGGTCAGTTCTCTCTTTCCACTGTGTGGGTCTGGGGGACTGAGCGAGACTTGGCAGCAAACACCTTTATTCACTGAGCTGTCTCCTCCACACAGGAGGCACACCTTGGTGTGTGTGTGTGTGCTCGCGTACAGGAGTCACACTTGGTGTGTGTGTGTGTGCTCATGTACAGGAGTCACACTTAGATGGGGGGTGGCATGCTTACAGACAGCAGCTTTGTTGTTGGATTAGGGCTCAGATGGTGGAGTCAGGAAGGGGAAGCATTGCTGACAGCACTGAGTTTAGAGTTCTTGGAGCATCTTGTCCCTTTCTGAGTTCATCCATTCTACCATGCTTACTGAGCACTTGCTGAACGCTGATTTTGCTCCTGGAGGTAAGGGTATGAGCCGAAGGAAATACTCTTTTGTTTAGGTGCAAGAACTGTCAGATCTCAGACGTGTAAGGCCAGTCAGTTCCTTTAGCAAATACCATTTTCAAATTAGTGTTTGCCGTGCACCCCTGGACCCCAGCTCTAGCTTCAGACCTCACCAGAAACAGAGCAGGCTGCATCGTCCCCAGGTAGAGGCTTACGTGGAGAGAGGAGTCCTCAGGCTGGCCCAGACAGTCAAGACACAATGCAGAGACTTCAAAATAGATACATCATTGCTGCGTTGTATCGGTCATGGTTATCTTTTCCAGTCTCGAAGAGTCCTGACTCTAACTGAGATACGTGCGAATCTACCGAGACTTGAACTCAGAGCCCTTTTGCATGCTAGGACAGCACTCTAACCCTGGGTGCACCCCCAGGCCGTCTTTTAAATCTTTGAGTACCAGCTGTAATCCATGCGTATCTAAACTCAGCTCCAATGAGCTTGGCGCCAGCGGCTCAGGGTTCTGGGTCCTGGTAGGCAGGCAGCTTGGCTGTGGCTGGGTAGGACTTTTAAATTCTGTTCCCTGCCTCAGCGGCCAGTGGTGCTCAGGTCTGGGCAGGCACCCTACCCTTTTGCTTCTGCGTGCTGCTTCCCAGGGAAGGTCGCAAGCCATTTTGCCTTTTTCCTATCCACTGTGCTTTTACGTTTCTCCTTTGAGAGGGAACAAAAGAGAGCCGGGGAGCAGCTTGAGATGTTGCTCACTCCCATTGCTACAAGTGTCCCTGGCAGCAGAGCTGTGGCCCCAAAGAACCAATTGCTACTGATTTCCGCTCTGCTGGGGGCTACGGAAGGGGTTGAGCCTAGACATATCTGCCTTGCTTAAGTTTTTGCCGTCCTCATTTTCTGTGCTCATACTTCTCTCATTGGTATCAGGGCCCAGCTGGCCCCAGGCAAAGCTTCTGTGGTCAGGAAAAAACGCCATTTTCCACCTTGTTCTGGTCACGGAGAACCAAAAGGGAGCCACGCGGTCTGTGAGAGGCTCCATCCCATCAAAGGCAGTTAGTGCTTTCCCCTCCCAGTCACGAAGGCTAGTGGGAACGCTCCCTGCAGAGCAGGGGGGGCTCTGGGACTCCTGAGTCCTCCTGCAGTATGCCCGGGTTTTGGTTGAGAGAACATTGCTGATTCGTTCTCCAAGCCCTGGTTCAGTGGCTCAAACAGAGGCCCCACGAGCCAACGTGTTGGTGCTTCTGCTGGCTTTCACCGCTCTCCCTGGAATATGTAGACTTTCACCGCTCTCCCTGGACTATGTAGCGGAGACCCCTGCCAATCTGTCCTTCCAGGCTTTGGGCAAGGATGACCAGCAGCCTGCAGAGACCAGTGGTTTCTAGAGGTTTGGGCGAGGGGGTGTGGATCTGGAATTGTGTGGAGAAGATAAACTCCACGTGTGATGGCTAATTTTCATTGTCAGCCCAACAGGATCCAGAATCATGGGGGATTGGTTAGGTACGATTCTGGTCTCTGAGTGTGTTGGGAAGGGCATTTCGGGAAAGGACTAATTAAAGCCCCCATGGGAAGCACCATCCTGGGCGCTAGGGCCTGGGTGGTCTGAAAAGAAAGTCAGCTGAGTGCTGGGGCTCTCCTGCTCGATGCTTTCTCAACCTGAAGTTCAAAGCCACCTCCTGCTCCCCATAGGCCAGGCTGTCCCACTCAGGTGGTGGCACAGGGCACCAAGCAGCCATGGGTTGAACTCCCTCAAACTGAGTTCCCTCAAGCTGTTTCTTTCAGGTGCTTGGTTACAACTACAAGCAAGTGGCTGACACAATGTGCTCTCCAGTCCCCTGCTTCCTCGAGAGCTTACTTATTTATTTACCGCGTGCTTGTACATGTGTGCCTTTTTGGCAGGATTGTGGAAGTATGAGGACAGCTTGCCGGGGTTGATCCTTAAGTTGTCAGGGTTGGTGAAACATACCATTACCTGCCCCCCCCGCCCCTCCCCGAGGTTTTGTTTTTGTTTTTTTGTTTTTTTCAAGACAGGGTTTCTCTGTGGCTTTGGAGCCTGTCCTGGAACTAGCTCTTATAGACCAGACTGGCCTTGAACTCACAGAGATCCACCTGCCTCTGCCTCCCGAGTACTGGGATTAAAGGCATGAGCCACCAACGCCTGGCTTCCTTGAGATTATTTTTAAGGGATTTATTTTTCTTTTTCTGTCAAAACTACAAAAGCCTCAAATTCTGGCTTTTCACTGGCCAGTTGTTCCTCTGATCCACCAGCCCCTCAGAGCCCCCAGGAGTGTGGTGAGGGACGTCACTGACCAGAGCAATTCTGTGTGTGTGTAGCAGAGAGAAACAGAGGCCGGGCTGGCTCAGGCACTCGGCCGTGAGTCAGGGGTGACCAACTACACAATCCATGAATTGCTCCTACCACCATGGCAGTATCTCTGCCTGGCACCTGGAAACCCGCTCTCCTGAGCCCAGTGTCTGCCTTCAAGTCACATTGTTGAGTTTCCCTGTGGGGTATCTTAGTACTCAGGCTTAATAGGGGAAGCCCTCACACTTCATTCCCTGGAGTAGTTGTCCAGTGGATAATCTTTGAGTTTGAAGGTTTCTGGAAAGGACTGTCCTTCTAGAAGAGGCAGGCCCTCACTGGGGGGCAAAGAAGAGCTCTGAAGGAAGATGGAGGAGCAGTGTCACCCAGTGGCCACCACATGAAGGTGAATGGGAGTCCTGGGTGAGACTGGTAGGATGGCCTCCATACTGCTCAACCCTGTGGAGTGTTATCTGGCCCATAGGATTCTCATCACAGGCAGGCAGAAAGCCCCCGTGACTCTTGGCTTTCTGAATGTTGGCTCCTCTGTGACCCCCGGGTCAAACCTTCTCAAGACCTTCGGCCAGCGTGGGCTCCACAGTTGACTTCGGAGGTCGATGGTGTAGAAAGAGACCCAGGGACAGAGGCGGGCTGCCAGCCCACACACCGCGTGGCCTTAGTGAACAAGGGAGGGGTAAGGCAGAAGAGGAGAGGTGGAGGAACGCAGAGGGCAGGGCACTGTCTTCCAGGCTTGAAGGGGGTGACAATGACAGCGGTTGATGCTAACAAATCGCTTGCTCATCTCTATAGACTGGGCTACGCTGTGCCCACACACGCAGAAGCGAGTTAGGTTTTAAGGGGTCGGGGAGTATGTTTTCAGCATTTGAAGCAAAGGGCTGGGTGGGGCTGTAGCTCAGTTGGTGGAGTGTTTGGGTAGTGTGCCCAAAGCCCTGGGTCAGATCCTCAGCTCCCAAGGTTTGGGTTGGTGTGGAGGTGGAGGTAGGAGGAGGATCAGGAGTTGAAGGTACATGTTATACAGAGAGTTCAAGGCCAGCCGGGCTACTTGAGACCTTGTCTAAAAGAGGAAAAAACAAAACAAAACCAAAAAACCAGTTGAGGCAATCAATAACTGAAGCAGTGACAACCAGTTGGCAGGAAATTCAACAGACATCTCAGGGTGAGACTGTGCCCCTCCCTACCCACTGCCAGCTCCGTGGCTGAACCCTCATACCCAGTCTTTGTTCTTTGCCTCCTTCCTGTGTCCTCCTTCTATTGTGGATGGCAGCCTGCCTCCCCCCTCATTCAGACTCTGGATGAGCTGCCTGGATTCTGGGAATTCTGCAGTGACTGACTTGCAGGTTGCTCACAACAGAAGTAGGAGCTCCTTACCATCTCCCTGCTGGAGGACTGACCCCACACAGAGGCAGTTGGGAGTCAGAGGGGACACAGCTCACCACCACCATCCACTCTGTGCCCACCTGTATGGGTTGAAGTGGCATGGATGCCGGCATTCCATCTCTCTCCTCTGTAAAATGGAAGTGTGAGACCATCCACGGCTCCTTTTCTCTCGGGATGATCTCTGTTACAAGCCAAACACCCCCCCACCCACCCCCAGCCCGGGGGTTAGCTCATATGCCAGGCTCACTCCAGCCCGGACTTTGTTGCTCCTCTTTAACGGATTCGTTGAGCTTCCGCATGTGAGGGCGGTAAACTTGGTTCCTGCGCAAAATAAACAGCATAAAAAAAATCACCCCTTGTTATTTGCGAAGCACAGACACAATAACGGACACACAGTGTGAAGGCAGGGTGGTGCTCTGCTGGTATACATATGGGGCAGGAGGGGAAGGTTGTTTTAAAGGTCTCAGTAGGGTCACTATAATGATTGGGAAGCATGAATGTGACCAGAGACTCCTGTGATCCCAGGGCTGGAACGGTGGGGCCTTCCGAGCAGTACCCCCCCCCCCAGCTTTGCCGGCTCCTCCCGGCAAGGTCCCCCTGGCCTATCTGCTTTCCTTTCTCCAGATCCTCCGGTGCTTGCCCTCAGTGATGTTCGGGTGGCCTTGGCTTATTTTCTGTGGTTTCCTTCCCTCCTAGCTACGGCATCGACGGCTCAACCAACGTGACGGGGGACCAAGTGAAGAAGCTGGACGTCCTTTCCAATGACCTGGTTATCAACATGCTGAAGTCATCCTTTGCTGCCTGTGTTCTTGTGTCCGAAGAAAACAAGCACGCCATCATAATAGAGCCCGAGAAGAGGGTGGGTCTGTGTCCACACTGCTGAAGGCTCCCGGGTAGCCATTTTCCTTCTGGGCTGCATGAGAGGTTTTACATTGGCTTCTCCAAGCTAGATTTCTATGGGTTACCCAAGCTCCCTCCATTCTGTCTTCCTGCCATCCCAGATCTCTAAACTCCATCCCAGAGACTGTAACTGGAGTTCTTCCGTTTTTGTTTTTCTCAAGAGGGTTTCTCATTATTGTTTTGGAGTCTGTCCTGGAACTCGCTCTGTAGACCAGGCTGGCCTTGAACTCACAGAGATCCGCCTGCCTCTGCCTCCCGAGTGCTGGGATTAATGGAGTTCTCTCTTAATTGACCCAGATAATAAAAAGCTGGAGTCAGATACAGAGGGAAACGCTGAGAGATTAGAGAGGAGGAGCAAGACACAGCACACACGGTACCTCCTTAGCGTCTCAGCAGACAAGAGAGCGATTTCTGGTTTCCCCCTGCTGACACCCTGTCTCTGCCCAGCTACCTCACTTCCTGACTGTACAGACCTCCAGACCTCTATGGTTAGCTATTGGCAAGCTACATTCTCTGACCCTCCCCCCCCCTCTTTTATTTGTACACAAGAGCCTCCCCTGATCCTGTTCTTCCCGTTTCTCGAGGGTGTGTCTCCATTCCCGAGTGGTCATGGCCTGTGCTTAGGTATCTTCAAAGCCTGGCTTCTGCTAATTGGCTCTTAAACGATGACCAGGTCCCCGCCTTCAAGACAGACCCACTGCCAAGCTGAACAGGCTCCACATCCCAGCCCCAGCTCAGGCACTGGGATTCCCTGAGGGGCAGAGAGCAAGAGATAGTCTGTGTGGCCCAGTTCCTAGCCCCAGCCTGGCATGCCAAACAGCTGGGGGAGGGTGGAGCAGCTTCCAGAGAAGGCTCAGCATTGTAGAGAGGCCAGGGGATTCGTGTGAACACCCCGTGTCACACACAGGAGGGAGTTTACTTGGCTCTTAGGAGACCGTGGCAGATGGTAACACAAACGTGAGACTAGAACAGTTATTCTGACAGTCTTTCCCCGGTCAAGGAAAATTGGGAGCGTGGGAAGGTAGAATTGGGAGGGAAAAGCAGAAGCTGACTTAACATCCAGCTTGCGTTGGCCTTAGTAAGGGGTAGGGGCCGGCCTAGAGCGACGCGCGCTGCTCTACAACTCCTCTGACACATGGCCACAGGAGAAGTCCCAATCTTCTCTGCAGTGTCGTCGTCCGTCCGGTTTTCCAGCCCCCCGAACCCCTGCTGTGATATGCCGTCGCAGTGGCTGCAATCTCATTTTCCCGTCTGTAGTTTCCTGCATCCGTGGAAATGAATCGTTATGAGCGAGCAGTGAAGGAGTTCCCTGGATCTGGGGAAGGACATTAAACACCCACCCGCTCTTCACACACACACACACAGACAGACACACACACATCTAAAGAAGATAATTGGAGATGGAAAACTCCCAGGGACGAGCTGGAAAACTGGCTCCCCTGAAAATTTTCTCCGGTTTGTCGTCCTTACAAAACTCAAGGGTATGGACGTTCAAAGGCTGGACCCTATTCTTGGGAGTCACGGACAGAGCTTGGACGAGCCTGATCCCATGAGCCTGAGAGCTGGAGCCGGCCAGCCAAGAGTGACACTGATGGTTTGCAACCACCACAACCCCGGGGCCGTTTCTTTTAGGAGTCATGTCAGGGATAATGTTGAGAAATCTGTGCACTACAATTGCATGCACCACCCATCAAACTGAGTGAGGAACGTCTTACAAACCTGAGTGCTAAGGACATCTTCCTTTCCCCTAGGCATTATTTCTTTGCCTTGTTAAGTAGAGAGAGACAAATGACTAATTTTGTTTTTCGAATTTCCTTTGCCTTCTCAAACCAAAGTCATGATTCACTTACACCGGTGGAGTAGGAAGCTATGATTTTATTATGTGCACTTCTATACTTCCTATCCTAAATTATATTTTCTCTGCCTAAGATTTACCTGTCCTGTCTGCTTATCCATCTTCTCATACCCCCTCACCGACAGAATATAAACAAATAAGACCGTACTTCTCACCTTGTCCCTTAGAGTTCATTCAGCGTGCACTTAACCTTGTTTGCATTTTCTTTTCTTTTTCCAGGGCAAATATGTTGTCTGTTTCGATCCCCTGGATGGCTCATCCAACATTGACTGCCTTGTGTCCATTGGAACCATTTTTGGCATTTACAGAAAGGTAAAGAGGATCAGTGGAGGCTCTTGCGACGATGCTCTGCTTTTACAAATAAAAGCCTCTGGTTTTGATAGAAAATGAATCTGGGGCACAAAGCCGTGGGGCTTGAATATATTAGCAGCCAAACACCGGTTGCCCTGCATATTCCGTGTGAGAGAGACCCACAAAACTGCTAAGATACGGTAATAAAAAAAACGCTGGTGGTCAAAGAGACCAGGCCACTCGTTCAGCCCTCTCTCTCTCACAAAGAAACTGAGTTTTAAAACATGCCAGGGCAGACGGAGTGACAACCAGCCCAACCTGCCTTCATCGATTTCTTCCTTAAGCTAAAGGCCGTTTAAAAAGGTTCACTTTTATCCAATAAAGGAAACAAAACCAAGCAAATCTTTCCCCACGAGACGGTTCACCTGTCTCTAGTAATTGGCGGTATTCTTTAAAAAAAAAAAATATATATATGGTTTCTGCAGCTATGAATGGAACTGAAAAAAAAATGGTTATTTGCCCTTGTGAAGGAAAGGCCTTGGCAATGGTCTCACCCATCCCTGCCTGACTTTCTCCTCCATCGCCTCAAGCCTCCCAAATTGATGGTGTCACCCGTGTGGCCCTTACTGGGTGACATGGAACTTTGTACACCCTAAAGCCTGTGGCAGTTGTGGCCTCTGTAGGAGGGGAAGAGACGCAATGCTCAGGGAGTGCTGGCTTTTGCCAAGTTCTTCCTGCTTGGCCATCCCGGGCAGCGGTGGGGGCATGAGCCGGCCTTCCAGGAGAAAGGCATTTGTTGCTCTGAGTTTTCAGGAGGACACGCAATTGGGAAGGGTTAGGCTTGACCAGGCCGGGAACCTCTGACCCAGGGGTTCTTTTGAGTGATCCAACATCTCAGAGAAGTGGTGGAATTCCTCATTTCAAGGGCGTAGAGGAGAGTTTAAGAGTGTTGGGTAGCTTAGCTTAGGGACCAGCACGAATGCGTGGTGCTGGGCCTGGTGAATCTATGGGGTACTCTTCAGGGTGGAGAGCTGTTTCTGTGAAGCCTTAGAGATAGTTAGAGGCCTGTGTCCCTTCTTTGTGTCACTGGCTTCCAGGGAAGAAGGTTACTGTTAAAATAACCCTGACAAGCAATCCACACTGACAAAGGCCATTTGTTTAGCGACGCACGGGCCAAATCTGCCGTTTATAGGAAACCAACTGAAAAAAATTTTTTTTCTCACTGACTGCCCGGCCTCTGGTAGCCTCCATCCCCTCTCAGGTTCTGTGAGGCCAACTTTAAAATGGGCCTCTTACTCTTGGTTGTGTGTGTGTGTGGGGGGGGGGCGGGGTAGGAGCTCCAGCTGCATCTGGCCTGTCCTCTAATGACTCCAGAGAGACGCCACAAACTGTATTTCTGGGAATTTCTTTGATGTGGGAGTAATTGACCACGCGGCTCAGAGAGTGATGGGAGCGCACAGAATCAGTTTCCCCACAGGAGAGAGAGAGAGACAGAGAGAGGTTCAGCCCTGCCGCCCTGTGATAATTTGTTTAAGCACAGACGGAAGAAGCAGGTGAAGACAGACACCGGGTGCCCGTGATCAGGTTGCATTAATGGAGCTGGCAAAAAAGCAACGCTGCTTGTTGGAAGTGATAATTGAGACACGGGGGAAAATCAAATTAGGAATATGTGGAGGGGATGCTGGCTGGAAAGAGCGGTTCCGGGGCAGGAAGCTGGCGGGGGGGAGGGGGGAGGGGGTCTTTCAGGAAGGCTGCCTGTGTAGTGAGTGATGCAATTGGAAGGCTGCTGTGGGGCAGGAGGCAAACTCTGGGATGCCACTCACTCTCCCTAGCGGGGGCTCCCAACCTGTGGGCCAAGGCCCTTTTGAGGGTCGGTCTCACGTCGGGTATCTTGGGTATCAGGTGTCCAAACTGGGATTCATAACAGTCGCAAGATTCCAGTTATGAAGCAACAATGGAAGTAGCTCCATGGCTGGGGTCACCACAGCACGAGGAACCGTATTAAAGCATGGCAGCCTTAGGAAGGCTGACTACCGCTGCATTAGAGGCCTACCCTGCCGTGTATCCTGTTGGTGGTGGCACTGGGAAAAAAAAAAAAGGACGGTGAAGCAAAGTGAAAATGTGTTTTCTTTTCCCCTTTGCTCCAGAAAACCACCGACGAGCCTTCTGAGAAGGATGCTCTGCAGCCAGGCCGGGACCTGGTGGCGGCCGGCTATGCTCTCTATGGCAGCGCCACTATGCTGGTCCTTGCCTTGGAGTCTGGCGTCAACTGCTTCATGCTGGACCCGGTGAGACATCTCTTAGGTTGGGTGCTTGGCTAGTAGCTTTGAGCTTGTATGTGTGTGTGTGTGTGTGTGTGTGTGTGTGTGTGTGTGTGTGTGTGTGTGTGTGAAGTGTGTGATGTCCATGGGGGTCAGAAGGTGTTGGGTTCCCTGGAACTGGAGTTACAGATAGTTGTGAGCCACCACCCAGCATGGGTGCTGCAAACCTATTCTGAGTCCTTTGGAAGTGCTGAACCATATCTCCAGACCCCCCCCCCTTCCCTCCCATCCCCTTTTTCTTACAGACAGCAACAACAGCAGCAAACCACACACACACACACACACACACACACACACACACACACACACACACACACACACACACAAGGTACAGAGCACATGGTGTCCTCTGTGAGAGGCAGTTCACTCCTGAGAGTGTGCGGGGTGTGGCAAACTGCTGCAGATCAAAACACGGGCTACCTTTGACCCTTAACACAGCTGCACCCTCACCTCCCCGGGAGCATGGGCGCTTAATAAATAATCTAAGACCGAAGTAGAGGGTGGACAGCACAAATCAAAGATCTGGGCCTGAGGCCCCAGGGGAAAATAGGGCAGCTTCTGAAAGCAGTGGTGTTGGCTGCGGCTGCCCCTTGTCCAGATTGTCCAGTCCCCTTGATGAGCTCCTGGCGCCCTCTCTGCTGCCTTTTAGTTGACAGACATAGAGAGTAAAACGAAAATCTGTCTCTTGATTGTAGATATGCATGTGGAGGGGTAGATTTCTGGGTCCTGGGGAACCTTCCTCCCTCCCCAGACACAGATGTTTGCTGGGTCCTCTTGCTGACTGCCGGGGTCTCCATGTGGCTTCGACACTTCTGCTTTGCTTTCTTTGGCTTGACAGAGGTGAAATTTACCCCAGGGAGATTCGAGGGGCCTCCCCTTTTGCTCTTGGCTCCCATCTAGAACAGGTCGATGGCTGAGGCTAGGGACAGAATATCCACATGTGGGTCTCTAGCAGGCTTCAGCTTTCAGTGAGCTTTCATAGCTCCTGTCTCCAAATGTGGGAGACTCTCCTCCTTCACCTGCTGGGCGCTTAGGCTGGGTACTGGATGGCTGCCTGGGGAGCATGGCTGGCTGAGCTCTGCAGGTGGCTCCGGATTTCTAGACTTTTTCTTTCTTTCTTTTTTCCCATTTTTTAAATTTAAATTAGAAACAAGCTTGTTTTACATGTCAATCCCTCCCCTCCTCCCCTGCCCCCCCCACTGACCCTTATCCCATCCCCTTTCTGCTCTCCAAGGTGGGTGAGGACTTCCGTGGGGGATCTTCAAAGTCTGTCACATCATTTGGAGCAGAGCCTAGGCCCTTCCCCGTGTGTCTAGGCTGAGAGAGTATCCCTCTGTGTGGAATGGGTTCCCAAAGTCCACCCATACACTAGGATAAATAATGATCCACTACCAGAGGCCTCATAGATTGCCCAGGTCTCCTAATTGACATCCTTGCTCAGAGAGTCTGGATCAGTCCTATGCTGGTTTCCCATCTATCAGTCTGGGGTCCGTGAGCTCCCCCTTGTTCAGGTCAGCTGTTTCTGTGGGTTTCTCCAGCCTGGTCTTGACCTCTTTGGTCATCACCCCTCCCTCTCTGCAACTGGATTCCAGAGCTCAGCTCACTGTTTAGCTGTGGGTGTCTGCTTCTGCTTCCATCAGCAGGAAGATCGAGTCAAGGGAAGACTAGAGGAGAGCAAGAAAAGAGACACCATAATAGAGGGAGCCATTACAGGTTTAAAGAGAAATCTGGCACTAGGGAAATATCCAGGGATCCACAAGGTTGACCCCAACTAATAATCTAAGCAATAGTCAAGAGGTTTCCTTAAATGCCCTTCTCCAATAGTGAGTTTGATGACTACCTTATATGCCATCCTCGAGGGTTTCCAGACATTTTAGGCGGAGATATTTACTTTGTTTTCTTGACTGTACAAAAATATTTCTATAAAATTATGGCCCAAATTTTTAGGAGTAAGAACAAAAAAAAAGCACGAAAACAAAAAAGAGGAGATGCATTTGTAGTGATGCCTTCTGTGACTGCGGTTAATTCCCTCCATTTCCTCAGTTAGCATCCTCTTGGTTTGTATTTCACATACTTCCTCCATTTCTGTGTCTGAATGGTTTTTATTTTTTCATTCTTTGACACACACACACACACACACACACACACACAAATAATAAATTTTGATCAGTTTCATCTCCAAGATTCTCTCTCCTCACTTTCTCCCATTGAAACCTTTCTTTCTAGCCAGACCTCTCCTGTTTTCCTCCCTTCCTCCCTTCCTCCCTTCCTCCCTTCCTCCCTTCCTCCCTCCCTCCCTTCCTTCCTTCCTTCCTTCCTTCCTTCCTTCCTTCCTTCCTTCCTTCCTTCCTTCCTTCCTTCCTTCCTACCTTCCTTCCTTCCTTCCTCCCTTCCTCCCTTCCTCCCTTCCTCCCTCCCTCTCTCCCCCTCTCTTTCTCCTCCCACTGCCTCCCTCTCTCTGTTGTGAACCACTGAATTTAAATGGAGTTGCTTGTATGGGAAAGGAAGGGCTATTTCTAGGGGCACGAGCGACTTGTCAGTGACTACGACGGTGAGGGAAATGATACCTTCTCCCTAGGCACCGTTAACTGACAATAGTCCTTCAGGGAGGGTGTGGCCTGCCTCATGAGCCCTCTTCCTGTCTATGATTTTGGAGGCGGGGTCTCACAGTGTAGACCAGGCTGAACCTAAATTCCTCACCCTCCTTCCTGCCTCAGCCTCTCTGGTATTGAGGTTAGAATTGTGCTCTCCCATGTCTGGCCTTGCAAGCTTTCTTCCTCATTTTATGAAAATCCTTAGCACTCTTAAACCCTTTTACTCCCTCCTCCATCCTTGTCACCCCCAGAGCCCTTGGCTGTGGTCACTGTGTCCCGGGGTGAGGTGTGGTCACAGCCCATGCTTTGTTCATGCCTGGGGGAGCTTGCCGATCATCGGTCTACCTTTCTCCCTCGTTTCAAAGGCCATCGGAGAATTCATTCTGGTGGACAAGGACGTGAAGATCAAGAAGAAAGGTAGCATCTACAGCCTTAATGAGGGCTACGCCAAGGACTTTGACCCTGCCATCGCTGAGTATGTCCAAAGGAAAAAGTTCCCTCAAGTGAGTGAGTAGGCAGTTGGGACTGGTGTGGTGTTCAGCTTTGGGAGGCGTGCCCTTAAGAGGAAAAAGGGACACTTGGCATTGAGAAGGGGCCTGGACTTCATCTGGGACTCTTGCTTTATGAGTCAATCAATCCACTGATGTGAATTATCCTGGAGATGAGGGAGAGGTAGAAACCACTGAAACTAGGTCCTGGAGCTGAAGTGCTTGCTGGGAGACATCAACATTTGAGTATTAGTTAGTCTTTATCTCCAAGCATAATCGGGACAATAAAGTCAACCAGATGAGCTTCTTTACAATAATAATGCATTTGTATTTCTGGGACCCCCTAGTCCTCAAACATCTACTGCATGAGGTCTGTACCTTCATGCCTATGCCCTTGATGGGTTTCTGTCTGTTGTATCAGGATGGTCAGTGTCAGGCAGGGGAGATGGCTCAGTGGGTAAACTGCTTGCTTCACAAGCATGGAGACTGGAGATTGGTCCCCCAGGTCTAGTTTACAGGCAGCCTGCCTGTAATAGCAGTGTAGGGAGGCAGAGAAGGGATCCCCTGAGCAAGCAGTGACCTGGGAGAGACAAATCAAAAGCTCTGGGTTCATGTGATGAAAGACTGGGCCTCAACATATAAGGTGGAGATTGATGGAGTGCTTCCACACACACACATACACACATTCCCACAAACCCATACATATATAAACACGTGGACACACACACACACTCCCACAAGCCCATACATATATAAACATGTGGACACACACACACACTCCCACAAACCCATGCGCATGTAAACACACACACACACACATTCCCACACACCCATACATATATAAACACGTGGACACACACACACTCCCACAAACCCATACATATATAAACACGTGGACACACACACACACTCCCACAAACCCATACATATATAAACACGTGGACACACACACACACTCCCACAAACCCATGCGCATGTAAACACACACACACACACTCCCACAAACCCATACATATATAAACATGTGGACACACACACACACTCCCACAAACCCATGCGCATGTAAACACACACACACACATTCCCACAAGCCCACAAGCCCATGCACATATAAACACACACATACACATGTACACACACACACATTCCCACAAACCTATGTACATATAAACACACACACGTACACACACACATTCCCACAAACCATGCACATATAAACACACACACACTCATTCCCACAAACCCATGCACATATAAACACACACACACACTCATTCCCACAAACCCATGCACATATAAACACACACACATGCATACACACACACTCATTCCCACAAACCCATGCACATACACACACACACAGACACATACACAGACACATAGACATACAGACACACACACACACACACACACACACACACACACACATACATAATGGACAGTGTCTACCCTGGTTTCTCACGAGTGAGTATGAGGAGGAAAACAGCTGCTTGTCCAGGGGCTCTTTCTATAGGGCTGTTTGATTTTTGCCCTACCATTGCTGCCCTTTTCTGAGGATGAAGCCCACGTGTTAACATGGCATCCAGGGTCTGGGGTCCTCAAAGCTGGCCCCAGGCTTTCTCTCTAGCATGGTTTTCTCTCCTTTCCCATGCACAATTCCTGCACACATGCATGTTAGCATACCCCGTGGCAACAGCACTTACCTCTATGCTGTCAAGCCCTTGTTTGTACCAAATCCTCTCCCTCAAAACATATAATTTTGCACATGCCCAGTTCTTTAGCGTGACAAAATCTTTGTCAGTCTTCAAGTTAAAATTTTGTATCGCCTGTTCCAACCTCATAGCAGAACCAACCACACTCTTCTTGGGGCTACTGCTGGAATGTGAACTTCTGGGAGATATTCAGGAGGCTGTGTCCCATGACTTCCCTCCTTCTTTTCTAGAGTGAGATTGTCTGAGTTAGTGTTTACTATTGCTGTGAAGAGATACCACGGCCGCCACCTCAACTGTTATAAAGAAAACGTTTAATTGAGGGGGCTAGCTTTCCATTCAGAGGTTCAGTCCGTCATGGCGGGGAGCATGGGCAGACATGGTGCTGGAGAAATTGCCAAGTGTGCCCTCCAGCCTCAAGGTCTGAATTAAAGGCCTGTGCCATCCAGCCTCCTCCAGCAAGACCACACTTCTTCCCACAAGGCCACAACTCCTGATAGTGCCACTCCCTATGAGTTAATGGGGGGGCAAATACATTCAAACCATCACAGGGATTTTCATTTCATGCCTTAGCTCAGCTCCAGGTGAGCATTTTGTCTGAAACTTGGTAAGTAACTGTGGAGTGGAATAAACATCAGGGACACCGAGGGTCCGCCCACCCTTTCTTTACCTTCCACAGCTCTAATCTTCTGCTGCTCTCAACCTTGTAGGGTAATTCAGCTCCCTACGGTGCCCGGTACGTGGGGTCCATGGTGGCTGATGTTCACCGCACTCTGGTGTACGGAGGGATCTTTTTATACCCTGCCAATAAGAAGAGCCCCAGTGGAAAGGTACGTACACCCCCAAGGAAATGAGCAAGAAGCAGTGGGGGATTGTTTCCAGCCCCAGGGGTTTGACCTCACTGGGTAGAAAGGTCATGGAGCCGATGAACTCTCCGGTGGTTGCTCACATGTCTGTGGCAGTCTCCAGATTTGAGGCAAGGCCTAGACTGCATCAACTAAATGTGAAAATGTCTCACGAGAGCCCTTCCACAGCTATGGCAAAAGAGAATTAATGGAACTCCAGCAGGGGACTAAAAAGCGCTCAGGGCTTCCAGGCACATGGGTTTGGCTCGCACAGAATGGGTTCCATTCATAGAGGGAAATGAAATAGTCCTGTCTCATTACCAGGATAGCAAATCAAATATGCATTGCCGAGAGGGGTCTACTTTGATGGCTCCCAAAGGCATAAAATAGATGTAGCTCATGAGCTTGGCATTTGCTGCTTGGAAAGTGATGCTGTCTGATTGAGGGGCAAGGGTGTGGGGAAACCCAGAGCTTCCGGGCGGATTTTTTTCCACTGACTGCACCCGCCACCGTGTTATGTAGTCAGCTCTCCGGCAAGTCACGGGGCTTGTGTGCCTTCCAGGGCCCGCTAGGGGGCGTCCTTTACTCCCTCGTGCGAGGCGACAAAAAAACGCTTCCTTTGCAGATATTCTGTCCTCTTCCCTGCCCCTTTTGGTTTTGCTGACAGTCTCAGGTGAGCCAGGCTGTGCAGCTGAGAAGGGTGACTTTTGAATTCCTGGCCCTCCTCCGCCCACCTTGGGAAAGCTGAGCAGTCTGAACCACCATGCTGAACCACATGCCCTTAAGCTGTCAGTAGCTGAGGTTGTGGGCCTGATGGGGTCTGTTCATGCTCACGGTGTCTGCTTCACCGAGAGCACTGATCTTTGTTCTTTCTTTGCACACCTGTCTTGCTGCAACAGCCCAGAAGCACTCAGCCAGCTTGCCGTACGTATCGCACTTTTTCTCGAGTGATTCACTCTCTTTCTCTTTGACAGAAAACGTGGAGGTGACTCCCCCCCCCCCTGCCCCTTTTTGAGTTTTCAAGTCTGGCCCTGATTCCCATATGGGGAACAGGGTCAGGAAATACTAGCACAGTCTGTCTGCTCCACAGGCCAACTGCATGAAAATGCGCTCAATAAAAAAAAAAATTAATATTCAAAAGCGAACACCAAGATATAAGTCAGACAGAATCCCAACCCTGGAGCATTAGGGAGGCTTTCAAGAGGAGCACACAGGGCTGCAGACAATGGTGCACTGTTTGGAGGAACCAGCCTGCCTTCCAGATGTCTGCAGCCAGACACCACTGTGGATTTTTTTAAAATGCCTTTAGAGCAGACGGAGCTCCGTCCAACACACACGGAATCGCTCATTAAGTCCCGTCTCTGGCTGTAAAGAGTTGGGAACCGTTAGTACTGCCAAAAATGCTACTCTGTCCCGAATCCAGGTGGTCTGCCTCATGTTTGCGTCAGGTGGCTGGCTAGCTCCAGCTCCGTGAATGGTTTTATTCAACCAAATAGCTAACGGTTTTGTCTCAGGAACATTGTGGGGTGTGGGGGTGTGTGGGGGGATGGGGGAGGGAGCTTTCCAAATTGATAAAGGAAAGAGGGGGAGAGAGACACAGAGAGATGGAGAGACAAAGACAAGAGACAGAGAGATAGAGAGACACAGAGAATCAGTTACCATGGAAACTTGCACAGCTCTGCAGAGTTTTGCGATAGAACAGGCTCCCCCCACCCTGATGGTAACACCTTCTGGGTTGAAGACCTTGGTCTCTCTGGTCTTGTTTTCCAGCTGAGGCTGCTGTATGAGTGCAATCCTATGGCTTTTGTCATGGAGAAGGCAGGAGGACTTGCCACCACAGGGAAGGAAGATATTTTAGACATCATTCCCACTGACATCCACCAGAAGGCACCAGTCATCATGGGGTCCCCTGAAGATGTAAAGGAATTCCTAGAGATCTACAAGAAGCATCAGGTCAAATAAAGGCCTGCTTTGCCCTTGCCCCAAAGCAGAGCCTTGTATCTGGACCTGCGACCTCAAGTGACACTGCCCCTTTCTGACTGTATGCTGTATATTCCTAGACAACAGACCTAACAGTATGGACAGTTCCACAGTCCAACACTTTGCAATGCCCAAGACTGCCTCACCCACCTGCTATCACACCACCATGACAGGTAACATGTATTTTGAGCAGAAGAAGGAGAAATAAACACACTCTTCCTTTATAATTTTTTTGTGCACTTTGTGTCAACAGAATGTTAGACAAGTCATTTCACCTCCACAACAGCTGCGTAAGTGTAATGATGTGGTGGGTCCATTTGGGCCACAGTAAAATGGAGAACTGAGGGCTGAAGGTCTCCATCCAGTGAGTGGTAGGCAAGGCCGGGGGAGGTGCCACGTCCGCTGCGCAGCCTGTGTCCGAGAATGTGCGGAGGGTGTCGGGGATAAAGAAAACTTTAAGCAGGCCCCAAAAAGGCTCAAGAAAACTTCCCAAGAAAGGCCTCCCTCCAGAAAAGCTTCCGCTCTCTCTCCACCCCTGGCTGGTTCTCTTTGACACCAAAAACTGATTTGGGTGTGTCAGAAGAGGCCGTTAGTCTTTGCACAAGGTCGAGGTCAGGGTGGTTCCCGTGGGCCAGCCCTTTTCAGGAACTTATTGCCCTGAGCATTGCATTGTTTTTAGTAAACATGTTTTTAGTAAACATTGTTTTACAGCTGCCTACTCCCAGGCTGATGGGGAAGTGGGTCTCTGAACAAGGTCTGGTGTCCCCACAGAGAGGAGCCCAGGCATCCTGGTCACTAAGCTGAGTTAATATCACTTCTAATATTTGTGGTCCTGTTCACTTCTGGGTGTTTCTGTCCTTCTGGTAATTAGTGAGTGTCTGGCTTCTCAGCCTCCTGCAGGTGTCTATAATCATCCAAGACAAAATGACAGTTTATGTTACTATTCAACAGTGCTTTTTTTTTTAACACAGGAGTGACATCTAATAACACAGCTGTGTAATTTCTAGGGAGGGTCTAGCGATCATAATGAAAATGATGGACCATAAGAATTAAATTTAAGGAACCAGACTGTATGCCAAGCAGGTACTTTTTGGGCCAGAGGGCTTTCCCCAGAGGACCTGTCACAGCTGGTCCTGTACATATGGAGCATAGTGAGAAATACAGCTGTTTGGCGCACATTATATTCTGCACATAGTGCATTCCCTTTCTGGATCAGAAGCTCAAGATCATGGTAAGTTATATCAGGTGTTAGGAACCCTGAGCCGTGTGTGAGCTGTCTGTGTGTGTGTCCATCCATGTGTTCGTCCCTGTGTGTGTGTGTGTGTGTGTGTGTGTGTGTGTGTGTGTGTAAATGCTCCAACAATTCCATGTTCTTCCAACAGGAAACTTGGTCAAATCACAAGCCTTGAATTTGCTTCCGTTTGCTGACCAGACTGCCTGGTGTCTTTTGATCGAGATGTGGGCTCAGTTAACGGAATGCTTTTCAAGAATGCTTACTTGTATCCTCTGAGTACATCCAAGTTTTCCTCTGTCTGTGGCCCTGAGCCAGGAACGGCATCCAGAGTGATAACAACACAAACATCAGTCCTCCTCTGGTCAGCCCTGGAGGATAATCAACCAGTCATTGTAGACTCATGCTGTCTAGGATGCTGTTCTTTTGGCAGACGAGGTGATGGGACACACTCACCATCACATAAAAATGAATGAGACTTAGTCTCTACGGTGTGGTCTTGTCCTAAAGTGGGAGATACTTCTGCTCTCAAACACAGAACATCTCTGTAAGAACCCTTGAAACCTCCCCTCACACCGCAGGCTACCAGGTCTCTCTACCAACTTCTTTAGTTCTAGCAGAAGTAGGAAGTGTCAAGATTCCATTTCCCACTCCCAGGTCTTGGTTTGTTCTTAGAGTTCTCATAGCTATGCCTCTCACCTTCTGTAGGGGCGTGGATAGGGTACGTGGGACAGATGAGGATAAAAGGAAAAGGGAAAGCAAGTCTAGCTCTTGGAAGCTCGCCACGTTCCCAGAGCTCCTATCTCCCTGCTTATTGTGTAAGTAACTTCTGTATTTAACAAATATCTTAGACCTCTTTTCAGATAGCATTATTTCCTCGTTAACCTTCCAATTTAAACCACACAGAAAGCCAGCAGAGGGAATCCTTCCGATGTGACTGAGAGCCATTCCTGATTTGGCTTTGCCAACAAGGGCAGGTATAGAGCGGGCATTGCAAGGGGCAGGTCAGGCAGGGCAGAGACAGAAGGCCCACTTCAGCACCGTGAGTTCTCAAAGCCCTTGGAGTCAGTGCAACCCAGTTCTCAGCCGCAGACGTGGGAATCATTTCAAGACGTCTGCAGCCGGTTCAGTGGTTCCCACTCAGAAGACACACCCCCATTCAAATCTCCAAGAGCAGCAGGTGTGACCACATTTGAATAAAGTGCCTCTGCAGATGTGATGGAGCTGAAGATTTTGAGATGGGCCCATCTCAGACCCCATGGGTGGGCCCTCAGCGCAGCAAGTGTCTTCATAAGATCACACAGGAGAAGGCCGTGCGTATTCGTTCTCTAAAGGAACAAGACTGATAGATTAGGTGCGTGCATGTGCACACACACAGACATAGGCACACACACATACAGACACACACACACACACACACACACACACACACACACACACAGAGGCATTTATTTGGAGAGGCTTATAGGCTGTGGTCTGAGTAGTTCAGCAATGGCTGTCTGCAATAGAAGGGTTAAAGAATGAGTTTTTCTGTCCGTGAGACTCCCGGTCTCAGCAGTTCCAATCCAGTGCTGGAGTCCCAAGAAGGTCCTAGAGAGCTGCCAGTTTCCAGTTGGAATCCCTAAGAAGTCTGTTCTAACTCCAGCAAAGGCACAGCTCAGCCCGATCGATGAACTTGCCACTGAGAATGAGGGCAATCCGGCAAACAGCAAAGAGTTTCCTTCTTGCGTGTCCTTTCATGTGGGCTGCCACCAGAAGGTGTGGCCCAGACATTAGGTGGGTCTTCTGACCTCGAAGGATGCAGATTTAGGGTGGGCCTCCCTCCTTAAGTGATCCAACCAAGAAAAATCCCTCACAGGTGTGCCCAGATGCTTGGAATTTAGTTAATCCCTGATGTAGTGGACAACCATGATTATCCAGCCATCTTACCATGTGACAGTGGAGACAGAGACCAGAGCCATGGCAGCGGAGGTATGCATAAGAAGCCAGAGGAGACAAGAAAGGATCCTTCCCAGAGCTTTCAGAGGAAGCATGGCCTTGCTGCCACCTTGCTTCCAGGCTGTTTTGGCTTTCAAAAATGGTATTAAAAAATTCCTGGACTTTTGGATGTGTTTTGTGTATCAATACATGTTTGTGTGTGTGTGTGTGTGTGTACATTTGTGTGAGTGCATGTACACACGGTGTGCACACATATGGAGGCCAGAGGTTGGTGTTGGGTATCTTCCGCCACTGAACCTAGAACTCACCAACTGTCAGGCTGGCCGACCCAGGAGTTGCTGGAATAACCCTGCCTTTGTCTCTCAAGCGATGGGATTGTAGGGCTATGCTAACATATCTGGCTTTTAACATGGGTGCTGTGGTTGGAACTCAGGTTCTCATGCATGCATGACAATCACTTTACTGACCCGTTTACCGAGCCATCTCCCCAGCCCAAACTTTTCTGTCTTTTAAGTAACCTGGTCTGTGACGTTTTATGGCAGGCCTAGGATGTATGTTCCCATCATGTTTCACTCTCCTTGGTGCGGGCCGTCCTCCTGACAGGGGGCGCAGGGGGTGGGGAGGCTCTTTATCGGGATGCCACTTGGTTTCCATGAAGTGTTGAGGTGACTCCACAAACTGTAACAGGGAGGGTGGAGGCAGCCGTGACCTGGGCCTGTGCTGGGAGCTCTAGGAATTGGAAGAGAAAGAAACGCAGCCACAGGGACAGAAGTGCTTCACGTCAGTGCTTTCGTGTTGGGTTCGGCATGACGTGAAGTCAAACCCTGTCCTTGCAGGAAAAAGACACATGCTAACATGTGTCATGTGGTCCTGAAATGCCCGTGGGGACAGCTGTCACCGGCCTCATCTTCCCGGACGACTTCCAAGAAGCTGCCGTCACATCTAGGTGGGAGACTCTTCACAGACTGAGCAGGTACCCCAAAGGCACAAGTCCAGGGGCGCTGGGCTTCCGTGACGAAACTGTGTTGGGAATCGTGTGACAGTATTAGAAAGGTCTTCCTCAGACAACATTCCAGAAACATATTTCTAGGTTCAGGTCCTCCAGGTGGATAATGGAGCAAGGACTGCCTGGTCCGGGATCCATTTGTCCCGATCCACTTAGACTTGTGAGTGTTTTTTTCAGGGCACACAACCAGGTCTCCAATAACTCTGTTGCTAACATGTCAGCTCTCCTGAAATACCCGTGAGAGACAGCTGTCTCCCAGACCCTGGACCGTCACCTCGGCTGCTCTTTTAAGTCTCAGCTCTGTCATGTGCACCAAAAAAACCCCTGTGGCATTTGCAAAGGTCAGCAGCTGCCATCACAGGCCATGTAGGCAACTTGAACTTCTACCGTTTAGAGGCAGCTGTGTGTACGGGCCAGGACTTGACATTTGAAGTCTTCCTTTATTTTTGACACAGGGAGGGTCTGTCACTGAACCTGGAACTTACTGATTTGGTTAGACTAGCTGCCACGCAAGGTCCCATTGCTCCCGTTTCCTTCCCAGAGCTGGGATTACAGGCGTACTCCAACATATCTGGTTTTTAACATAGGTACTGAGGAACCCAGACTCAGGTCCTCTGGTTTGTGTGGCAAAGCACTTTTACCAATTAGTCCAGTCATTCAGCAGTCCTTCCAGCCCCAGAATGGGACTTTTAAAGGGGGCCTCTGACTATACTCTCCAGCCCCGACGTTTCTTTTCAGATAAATACTCTTTAAAATAAAAATAAGGAACCAGATAAACTGATAAATCAACTCTGGGGCTAGACACTTTGCTAGGAATGTCACATTTATCTTCCAGATTCGGGTACCTCCCACGGACATCCCTCTTGTCATACATGCTTAGTGGAAATAAACCTGAAAGTCCCCTTATACAGTCATCCTTGGATCGCCATCAGTTTGTTATATGACCTATGCCCTAGATACGGTATCTGCCAATCTGCTATCTGAGAATCACAGGGAGGCCCCGAAGCAGCTGTCTGCAGAGAGCACTTTTGTGTCCTCATAAGAGGATTTTG